GCGAGGGGGAGGAGTGGGGTGGCTCGGCGGGCTCCTCGGGGTGGAAGCTCTCCTGCAGCCCCCCGATTGACCCCCCCCCCGGATGGCAGCCTGTGGCAAGTGCCGCCGGGCTGATGGTCGAGTGCTGTGATGTGCCGAGTGTGGGCATTCAGGGCACTCCAAGCCAGGACTGCTTTGCTGTCCCTCATCGAGGTAGACAAGTAAGCGGGGAACCCTGAGAACTGTCTGTCAGGGGTGGGGGTCCCTTTAAACACAGCCCTCGGCTAACCTGAGACAGCAGCTCCACGGTCTAAGTCCTAACCTGATGCCCTGCTGGCACTGCTTCCGGCCAGCCTTAACCTCGGATCAGGGTCCACTCAATGTGGACATGCTAGTTCAAATTACCAAAATGCTAATTCGAATTAGATTTGAGGTCTAGATGCACTAGTTCGAATTAGCTTAGTTCGAATTAACTAATTCGAATTATGTTAGTTTGAATTAGTGCTGTAGTGTAGACATACCCTCAGCTATTGCCCAGATGATGGGGAAAGCAGGCTGTAATCCTGTCACTGGTTCATACTAGCCAGCAGAGTTGTCAAGAGAAAGAGAAGAGGAGATTTTGCTTTCCCACATTAAATAGAAAATGGTGGTGCATATCTGGGACCTGAGTCAAAGCCTCATGAATGCAATGTCTCCATTGAGATCAAGCCCCTGGTACACCGCAAGCAGCCCTAAGTGGCTAGATACATTCCTCATTAACTGTAGTTGCAGCATGCACAGCGTTAGAAAAGTTCATCTTTTAATGCTAGATGTATCAATAAAGAGTCATTCGTTTAAGTAAAGTTGTACTTGCTGTCCACTTACCTCAGACCCAGTTTCACCTCGATTACCACGAGGACCTGGAGGACCTATCGGACCTGGGTAACCACTCGAACCATCCTTTCCGGGAGGACCGGATGGGCCAGGGGGACCCTAGTGCAATGACAAGCATGATTAAATGTCAAAAATCATGTATGTTATTTGCAAATTATGTCAAACGTTAGAAAGTATTTTAAAGCATTTCATTCTTATGAATGATCATGCGCTTCTTGATCCTTTAGTGTTTGCCATTTGGCAGCTGCCATATTTCTAGTTAAAAACATTCTTTCTAACACAGATAGATCTGCTTATTCAGGAAAAGTTACTTACTCTTGCACCCATACTTCCTGGACTTCCATTTGCACCTTGTGGACCCATAGCACCCTGTCGAAAGAAGATGGGTTAGCAATATTCTCCTGGCAGCAGCAGGGATCTCTGTGGTACTCCTTGTATAATCATTTTAATAGATAACTTTAACAAATATATAAAGCAAGTAATTGAAAAAAGATTTTTCAAGCTCAGCTATGTCATTCTCTAAGCAGAAAAGTATAAGGCCTCGTCCAGTGGCCAAGAATGTTGATGGGAATCTTCACACTGACTTATTTTGGCTTTGCATAATACCCTAATTCCTTTCGAATACACAGCTATAGATTCATATCACTGCAGAGCTGATGATGGCATTTGCAAGGTTTCTTTTAAGGATTCTGCAAACATCACTTATTTTAACTAAACTAAGAGTAAGTGACCATTACTTACTGAGGAAATGCCAAGGAATAAACCACATGGGGCTAATTGCTTCCTATTGAAAAATGTAAGTAATGGGAACTCTGTCAAGATTTTGGAAAATGGCTTTTTAATTATGGCCTGTATACATTTAGATTTTACATATCTGCACTACTGTTGTGGCATTGATAGGACATTATACAACTATTAGCTTTTAGAGCATTGCATGGGATTTGGTGCTTAGATCCTCATTAGAGGCAGTGGAAGTTGTAGACTTAAAATTCCTTCAAATATAAATCTTTCTCATGCAAAGTTATGTGACTGACATGAAGATCATTATAAATATTTAAGCTTGGATTATTTTTGCTGTGTATAGTTATTAATATCTATACAACATGAGTGCACAGTTATGTAAAATACTCACTTTGCCTAGTATAAATGACTACACAGAAACAAACAATTCAACCTTCAGACTCTAAAGGTGGTATTTTTCAAAGACAAATTAAGGATTTGGCTATCCAGTTACCATTAATTTCTCACTAAAACTGGGTAGTCAAATTCCACAGGCCTCTTTGTCAGAATCCTAGTGTTTTGTTCTTGAGATTTTCAAAGTCACGGTCTACACTAGGGCTACACTAGGGCATTATTTCAAAATAAACCCTCTTATTTCAAAATAATAAGCTGAGTGTCCTCACTACCAAGACCATTATTCTGAAATCTGTACTCCTGCTTTCTTTGGGGAATAATAGAGATAGTGTGGATGCTCTGGTGCTGCTATTTCAAAATAACTACTCCCCAGAGTAATTCGAAGTAATTTCTCCCCAGTGCTTCCTGGTGCTCTAAGTTGAGGTAGTACATCCACATCAAGGGAGCCTGCCCTGGACTAATTTCCTAATTTCGAGGCTCCCTTTTAGTGGTGACCTGCTATTTTGATTTTGTTATTTCAGGAGCTATTATTTTGAATTTAGTTATTTTGAAATAATGTCCTAGTGCAGACATGCCCTAAATGTGAAAATGTATTTATCCTAAACAAAACAAGGGGTCTCATTCAAAGAAGTTGTCTCAAACCAGCTTTTGTGACTTAGGAACCTCATGACTCCATGGGGATCTTTATTCATCCTTGTCCCCACCTGGTGTAGCATGGGAATAAAGACCAATGTTCCTTGCAAGCTACACGCTTGTGCAGCCATTCAGAAGGGATTCAAATGCCACCCATCTGATTAGCAGAGCACCCATAGCTAGGTTTTGTTATTACTGGTGGTGCACATTTGCACATGCCATGGTGCACATAAACATTTATGCCACACATAGATGGAAAAAATCCATACATGGACAGAAAGGGTTAGAGGGAACATTGATCAAGACTACTGATTGAATTTAACTTTTAAAACAGTTCTTTAGCAAAATACATAAAGCTGATATCTTTTTTTAATCTGTAATCACTGTAATTGAAAACTGAAGTATAGCTTTAATGTAAAATTCAGCATGATACTTACAGGAGGTCCAGAGGGACCTGGGAGACCAGGAAATCCTCTATGACCCTTAATGCCATTGGTGCCACGCTCGCCAGTTTCACCTTTGTCACCACGAGGACCTTGGGGACCCTTTAGAAATAGACAAGTGATAATAAGTAGGAGTAATTGTCAAAACCAGAAAACGGCAGAGATGATATTCCGAGTGCTTTAAAGCGGGGACTTACTGTAGCTCCACGAGTACCAGCAGGACCAGCAGGGCCAACAGGACCAGAAGGACCCTGGGGGAAAATAGAAATGAGAGAGTTCATGATAAGATGCAATTACCACCATCTTTTCTCTAGACAGACAGTATGTGCAAAGAGTAGTGCAGGTCACAAACGAGGGGGGAAAGTCCATAAACTTAGTCATTCAGCTTAGCTTTTCAATGATACATTTCAACTGATTAAGTGTCAAAGACTCCAAAATCTACTTGACAGCCACCTCCACTTGAACAATCCTCATGTGTGAAGTGTTGAGTCAAAGTGAATGTGGCTCCTCTTAGGATTAGACTCAACATTTACTGAGAGGTTAGCGTTGGGCTTTTCCAAAGCACCCAACTTCCTCAGCTATTATCACATTGCTAGTGCTGTACAGGCACAGAATAGCTTATAAACGACATGCATCTGACAAAAAGTGGGTCTTTGCCCACGAAAGCTTATGCTCCAATATATCTGTTAGTCTATAAGGTGCCACAGGACTTCTCGTTGTTCTTGTAAATGAAGACAGCCTGGTTGGGTTATTTACTTTGCAGAATCGAAAAGCACTGTACGGGATTGAGCATAAGTAATGCATAGCTATTTATGATTTAGGTGGGTGTCAGCATTGTGTAGAGAACACTGCACACCCCGGCTACGTCTACATTGGCCCCTTCTCCGGAAGTGGCATGTTAATTTCCAACTTCAGAATAGGGAAATCCGCGGGGGATTTAAATATCCCCCGCGGGATTTAAATAAACATGGCCGCCGCTTTTTTTCCGGCTTGGGGAAAAGCCGGAAAAAAGCGTCTAGACTGGCGCGATCCTCCGGAATAAAGACCTTTTCCGGAGGGAAAAAAAGCGGCGGCCATGTTTATTTAAATCCCGCGGGGGATATTTAAATCCCCCGCGGATTTCCCTATTCTGAAGTTGGAAATTAACATGCCACTTCCGGAGAAGGGGCCAATGTAGACGTAGCCCCCAGGTATAAACAAAAGCATAGACAGTGAGGCAGTGCTTAAGGGAACAGAGTGCCCTTGAACCCCGATGCCTGGGATATATTCTCTAGCTGGCTCTCTCTGTATGTCCAAGCAATGCTTCCCCTTGTCTATTATGATATTTTGTGTTGTGCTTCTGGAACCTTTTCCTACTGCAGTGACACACTCAAGCAGTAGGAAAAGGCTCTGGCAGCTCCCCACTCTTGAAGCCTTTCCACACTGCCTCTCCCCAGGCAGAGCCTTTCACTGCCACATTCATCCAACCATCCACCCTTTTTCTCCTTGGTAGACCTGTAATGATGTCCCAGTGCAATAATACTAGGCCAATAATAATAGGCCAAGAAACCTGCAGTTTGACTCTTCCATATTCCTGTTTTCAGTATATAACACAGCTTGTAACTGGTAAAACAACACAAAATGAGCACTAGTTGCTTTCTGTGGCATTTGCACTTACCGGACTTCCTCTTTCACCTGCCTTTCCAGCTGGACCAATGTTCCCTGCGGGTCCAGGATGACCAGGGGCACCAGGAGCACCTGGACCACCATTTTCACCACGATCGCCCTGCAGTGATATTCACAACAGTTAGCATTAAGAACATATCTATTTGCTACAATATAGTGCATATGTAATCAATACCCCCCGCCCCCCGATGCTGAGAAATAGCAGGAACACTAAAGATCAGTGCCTAGGTACCTCAGGAATTGGCAATTTATACATGGCATGGATAGACTTAGATACTTAACGTCTCCTACCTTTGGTCCTGGGGATCCATCACGACCTGGCAAGCCATCTGATCCAGGGCTGCCCTGAAAAACACAGAGGTAAACGTTGAAATATTTGCAGGATTATGGCTTAGACAACATTTTTTAATTAATCAAGATACTGTTCCTTGAAAAGAGACAGAGATGGTTTGTATGTAACTCTCACATGGCATGTGTAGACTACGTTTTCTTTTTGAAAGGAGATATGCAAATTTGGTGCTAATTTGTATATCTTCTTCCAATCACTTTTTCTAAAGAGAAAGTAGTCTGGATGCAGTTCTGAAACTCTCTTTCCCCCCCCCCCCCACACACACACCTTTTTTAAAAAAACCCGCTCCTCTTAAAAAAAAGGAGGTTTACGCCTTTTTTCAAAACAAAATTTTTTTCCTGAAAAAACTGCATCCAGACTACTTTCTCTTTAGAAAAAGTGATTGGAAGAAGATATACAAATTAGCACCAAATTTGCATATCTCCTTTCGGAAAAAAAACCTGTGGTCTAGATATACCGACATAGAGGACCAGATTGTAGGTAGCCATTCTGCAGGTTTTCAGAAAGACAGCAGGTCAGGAGATTCATATTGTTCCCATGTGTACACCTGTAGTCCCAGAACTTGTAACAATGAAGGGAGTGTTCCTTTGATCAACATTACTTAGGACAGGACAATGGCATGCAGACAGTAGGCTGAACTAGGGACAATAGGATGCATCCTTCTAAATGAGAATGGTATTGACATAGTTTCTCTATGCACCAGGTTTCTCAGGAAGGGAGTCTAATTCTATGATACTTCCCCCTTAGATAGGCCCATATATAGTTCACAGTCTCGCATTAAAATTGGAAACATCTTCTTACATCTCTGCCAGATTCTCCAGGTGAGCCACTTAGACCGGGAGGACCTTGTAGACCTGGAGCACCTCGTTCTCCTGGGTTGCCATTGCTGCCTGGTTTGCCATCTTCACCCTGCATAAAAAAATGAAATGGGTTCATTACACGCTGGTTTTTGTAATGTCATAAAATTATGAAGTTGTTGGACTCTCTTTTGTTCTATTCTGTTTGTTTTATATTTTTTGAGCAAGATGAATAATGAGAATTAAGCAAATGAATAGCTGGTAACGGGTGACATTAACACTCATAAACTGCATGAACCTTTCTATTCTAATGATGTGAAGAGAAGAAAGATGTATAGTACAACTGAAGACATGATGTATCAGAAGTTTTGATGTATTTAATGATTGAATTATTCTGTTTTTTCAAGTGTGTGAGTTTGTTTGTATACTTTTTGGTAATCCTCAGAACAATCAAAAAATAATAGTAATAGAGAATCAAAGACAACCCCGGATTCAAGTCCCACTCCACATAGGGAAAGTTTACTCTGCATTCTAACTTTATAGTTCTAGATTTGCTCCCGTAGGTAGAGAATGGCACAAAGTCCCTACTTAGTTTTCACTTAGCTTTGACATCACTTGAATTTGCCTGAGTACAAACTACATAAGAACTTCATCATTGAATCTATTATCAAGAAAGTATGTCACAGTCATTACATGTGAAATTCAGGATTGTCATTACATTTTGTGTCTCATTCTAATTCTGGGGTCACTCATTCTGAGAGATGTGGACAAACTGATGAGATTCCAGATAATAGCCACAAAAAAATTAAAATGTTTAGAAAAGTTTAAATGACCTATGAAGAAAAGTGTAAAGTTTAAAAATAACTGGCATCTTTAGTTTGGAAAAAAGAAGACTGATGGGGGACCTTACAACAGTGTTCAGATGTGTTACAGTCTCTTATAAAGAAGACTGTGATCAATGTTCTCTATGTCCCTGGAAGTAGGACAAAAAGTAATGTGCTTAATCTTTAACCAGCGAAATGTAGGTTAGATCAATGATTCACAACCACCAGGCCATGGACTAGCACCAAGCTGCAAATGGCTGGCTGCTGGGCCATGGCAGCTCTGGGGGCCAGGCCTCGGCTGCATCACCCAGCGCCAGGCAGGAGAGGGGTCTCCTACCAGCTGCAGAAAAGCATTTTGCTGCACTGTAGGAGGGCCACACAGAGCCTTGCATGCAGCCTTAAAGTTGCCATGACCTGGGCAGCAGGGCGCAGCTGGTGACTGGGAGGCAGCACAGGGCTAGGTGAAGGGGAGGGGGGGGGGCAGGCACAGGGTGCTCAAGGGGCAGGGCTAGTGCTGGGGACTTCTGGGGATAGTAGGGGCTCTAAGAAGTGGGGGGCTGGCACTGGGGGAGTCTGGGGGTAGGGCTACTACTGGGGAGCTCCAAGGGGCGAGGGGCTCTAAGAGGCTGACCCTAGGGGACATTGGGGCATCCAGTGTGGGGAGCAAGCTCTGGGGGTAGGGCTAGTAGTGAGAGGACCATGGGGGCAGGGCTGGCACTGGGGATGGGACTAATATTGGGAACTGGGAGAATCTGGGGGGAGTCCTGGGTGGTTGGTGCAGTGGGCTCTGCAAACAGGAGGCTGGCACTGCAAACACGAGGTCTGGTGATGGGGAGCTGTAAGGAGCGGGGTGCTGGCATTGAGGCATTTGGATTGGGGGGCTGGCATGGGGGACTCTGAGGGCAGAAGGCTGGCACTAGGGGTTTGAGTGCAGGGGATGCTGGGGTCAGTGGCTGGCACTGGGGAATAGTGGAGGGGTGGGGTGTTCTAAGGGTTAGGTCTGGCCCTGTGCAGGGGAGGACTCTGAAGGCCGGGATTTTTATACAACAGACTGGCAAACCCATTCACAAACTTTTGGCAGACTGATGACAATATTCACATAATGAATATGCAAATAAAACGTTACCAGAGTGACAAAAGTTTGTGAATGGGTTTGCCGGTCCATGGTATAAAAAAAGTTGGGAACCACTGGCTCAGCTATTAGAAAAAAACCCTTTTTATTGAAAAGGTAGTTATGCTCTGAAATAGGCTTCCAAAAATGTATGTGAAGGTTTTAAGAACAGGTTAGACAAACACTTGTTAGGAATGGTCTAGGTTTACGTGGTCCCGCCTCAGAACAGAGGAATGGAGTTGAAGATATCTCAAGGTTCCTTCTGGCTCTATATTTCTATTATTCTTTAAAATCCTGAAACTCTGTTAGAGATTTACTTCATGATATGATTGAAGGTAAATTACATCAATAAACCTGCATTTACCTTTGGACCAGATAAGCCAGGAGCACCTGGTCTGCCAGAAAGGCCTGGTGGTCCCACAATACCGCGTGCACCAACTAGACCTGAGGGACCTGGACTACCTGGTGAACCCTGTCAACAATATTGCAAATAAATAAATGATAAGTACTCAGTTAAAACATGGCTTTGAATCATTATCTTTTATATTCAGTCTCTCTTATGAAATTCTATTCACAGGTATAATGAACACTGACAAATAATTTACTTACCATTTCTCCTCGTGCACCTGGTGAACCTTTTTCACCTGGTTGGCCAGGCTCACCTTTAGGACCAGCACCTCCAGGACTGCCAGCTGGACCAGTGTTACCTGCTGGACCAGGTAGGCCATCCTTTCCGGGAGCTCCAGAATTACCAGGTGGTCCTGGATTGCCCTATGAATGAACGTTTACAGAGAGAAGATTCAAATACAGTATAAGATATGACAGATGAGTCAACATTATGTACTATTTTGTCATGATCAGTTTGAGAGACCATTTGCCATTAAAGGAAATGGGAGCTGTGAGAGCTCATAGCAATGCAAATTAAATCACTTGCTTTGGTGGCTAAATGTTGGCTTAGATGCTTAACTGTAGGCAGCTGCATTTCAAAAGGCTGGCTTGCATACTGATGGTACTGGTTGATTTCGGGAATCACCCATTCTACTATCATAGCTGTGGGATGAGGTGCCTGATAGCAAAGAGACTGGACATGTATGCTATAAAATCTTTTCAGTAAAAAGTCAGATCCAAACCCCACTGAAATTCATGGAAATACTCCTGTGGACTTTACAGGACTTTAGATCAGGCCAAAAATGTTAAATTCTACCATCCAGTATTTACTGGGGATTGATTACATATATATTCTTCTCATGGTCATGATTTTCTAACTGTGAAGCCGAACTCTGATATAAGTCTGGCTGAAACTAAGGGATATTGAAAAGACATAAAAATCTATTTTTAAAAATCACAGTCTGACTGGAAGCAGGGAATTTTCTTGTCATTTCTCACTTAAAAGTATATGATAACTGTGGGAAAATGCTAATTTTTAAAATGGAATTTAGTTTATTCATACAATTTTTGCCATGACCATTTTTTCTAACTTGTAAAAGAAAAGAATTTAAAGTCATAGTCTAGTATTTATGGTAGAAGCAAGAAAGAAAGCACATATGGTGTGACCAAGTGTAATATAGAATAGCTTTTCTTGGGCAGAAATGATGTACAAAAATTTGAGAAAATTAAGCAGAAAATAGAGATGATAATGGAATAGTATAGATTTGCAGTCATTTGATCTGCATACTATGGGCCAACTCTGTAGGGGAATGATGCTCCCATGGACCATCTTGCTTTAAAATTACTTCATTTTGCAGGCAACTAAAAAAAGGCCCAAAGGATCTACTTTGAACTATGGAGCACAACGTAAAATCGCTGATAGAAATAAAGAAGACTTTGAATGAAATGAATACACTACGGCTACGTCTACACTGGCATGAATTTCCAAAAATGCTTTTAACGGAAAAGTTTTCCGTTAAAAGCATTTTCGGAAAAGCGTGTCTAGATTGGCAGGATGCTTTTCCGCAAAAGCACTTTTGGCGGAAAAGTGTCCATGGCCAATCTAGATGCGGTTTTCCGCAAAAAAGCTCCGATCTCCTTTTTCACAATCTGGGCTTTTTTGTGCGGAAAACAGTACTATGCTGTCTACACTGGCCCTTTTGCGCAAAAGTTTTTCAGAAAAACACTTTTGCCCGAACGGGAGCAGCGAAGTTTTTCCGGAAAAGCACTGATGATTTTACATGAGATCGTCAGTGCTTTTCTGGAAATTCAAGCGGCTAGTGTAGATAGCTGGCAAGTTTTTCCGCAAAAGCAGATGATTTTGCGGAAAAACTTGCCAGTCTAGACACAGCCTATTAGTCAAAATCCTAAACTGTACACTTCTTACATCATAAAGATCAACAGTGAATAGGACATTTATGACCACCATAAACAGATAAATAATCCAGATCCCAGGGTATGTCTAGACTACATCCCTCTGTTGTCAGAGGGATGTAAATTAGACATACCGACATTGCAAATGAAGCAGGAATTTAAATCTCCCACGCTTCATTTGAATAAAAACGGCTGCTTCATTTTGCGGAGTCAGCAATTTGTCGGAAAAAAGCTGCTGTCAAGATGGGTATCGGGCGACAAAGGCTTTCTTTGTCACCCAATCCCTGTCTTGACAGCTGCTATTTGTCGACATACTGCTGACTCGGCAAAATGCGGTGGCCATTTTTATTCAAATGAAGCGTGGGAGATTTAAATTCCCGCTTCATTTGCAATGTCGGTATGTCTAATTTACATCCCTCTGGTGATGGAGGGATGTAGTCTAGAAATACCCCCACTGTTGTTAATGGAGACTCATTGAGTTTAGTAGGATTTGGGGGAAGCAAACACCGAAAGATGACGGTTATCAATACAATAAATGAAACATAGTGAGAGGGAGATAAGCCCACTTCTGTGAAGTTAAAATGAAGCAAAAAATGAAACTTTAATTTCAGTATACTTCTCCTTGTGTATTATTTATATTCATGTACTGTAAATAGTGATAAGACTTAGATAAAACAGCAAGGTAAGTATACACTTACATTATTACCAGGAGGACCAGGCAGGCCTCTTGCGCCAGGGAAACCAGATGAACCCTGGAATGTATTAATAAGTTTAGTGATCAGTTTTAAAACACTGGTAACAAAACATGAAGGGCTCGTCTACACTGGCCCCTTTTCCGAAAGGGGCATGTTAATTTCACAGGTCATAATAGGGAAATCCGCGGGGGATTTAAATATCCCCCGCGGCATTTAAATAAAAATGTCCGCCGCTTTTTTTCCG